ACATCTAACGTTACTCTCTTTAAACAAACAATACGTGCTGCACTTCTTATGTTCCATCTTCAATGGAAATAAACGTTTCCTTTGATATCAAGGATATCTAATTCGAGTTTTATCGGCGATTTCATGTCGAGCCTTTAAATGATTCCGGCGAAAGAAATATACCCGATTGCGTTACTTTAGACGATTTCCCAAGGAAAGTCACGCGTAAGATGAAAATCTGCTGACATTATGCAAAGTCTCCGGACTCTTATTGCTGTTGAAAGTTGTTCCATTCTGCCTCAATAGGATCGCATTCGGGATACAGTTAATTCTCGCGTTCCGACTCGATCACTCGAAGCTGGCGCGCCGGTGGTACGTAAAATTGAATGGAAAATTCTCGTGGGAAATCATGACGTCCCGGCTCGATAGAACGTGGTGGTAGCTAGGCTATTGGAATTAAGGTTTAACATGTGGTTACAAAGACAAAGAATGGAATAGAAGACTTTTGACCCGAGCACACGATCGATTTTGTCATCGGAATTTCTTACATTATCAATTATTTCGATTTTCTACGCATACCGCGATAAGAGGAGCTTTATTATAAGAACTGTCTTTCACGCACAGGAAAATTCTTTAACACACTGACATTAATCTTTGACACGTGTGACATTCTTCCTCCAAAGATTTTAGAATTTCAGATTACTCGAAGAAGAGAATATAAAGAATATGAAGAATCAGATATGGTTTTATAGATTGAAAGGATTTTTTGAGAATGTTTATAAAAGAAACAAGTGGCGTTTATCCTGTTAAATTGTATTATTTCTTATTATTTATTTTATTACATTAACTATTTGATTTCGAGTGTCTTCTTTGTCAAGCAAAAATACAAAGAAGTAATTATTGGTTTTTAAATGAGAATAACTTTTGAAGTGTTTTCACAGAAAAATATGGTTCTCTTGTTTTCAAATTATGTAGCAATGCGAGGTAACTGATTCTAGTTAACAATTCAAAGAATCAGTCTTTCTTCAGTAAACATAATACATCTCACAAGAAAATTGTTAGAAATAATCTCCTTTAACACTAGAACTGCCGAGCGTTTAATGTGATTGATATGTCACCCGTATAAAAATGGTAACAATAGATTATTTTCAGTTTCCTCGAACAATCCTTATAGTATTCAAGTGAAACTATTTATTTTCGAAATCATTTCGAGTACTCGATGCACTTAAAGTATCAATAATTGCGAAACAAGGAAACCGCATTCAATCATTTTGACTAGTACAGTAGTTTTAGTATTAAGGATCAATTTTCTATAAATGAACCATTTTTACTGTTAAGGCTGTTCAACGAGATTGAAATGGAATAACTGTGTAATCGTGATAAATGAAATCGCGAAGGTAACGGCATTGAATAAGAAATCGTTGCAAAGGATAATGAAATTCGGATGGGGCCGGAGTCCATCGTCAAGTCACAAGAACTGTTCGCACAAGCTCTAGATTAAAACTACCCCAACAATGGCATCGCTGTTTCCTCATCGGCAAACTTTGTTCGCGGAACGCTTGTGTATTCCGAGCATTTCTGATACATTTACAGAGCAAATAATTTGAGAGGAATTCTTTCCCTGAAGCTACATCCTGCAGGATTCTAAAGGACGGGATCGATGGACACTACGCAAACAGAAGAATCTTCTCGTGTCGATACGAGAAATAAACGAACTGTATCGAATTTTCGTTCACTGTTTTTCCTTGGTGCGCATTTTACATATCGTTTCTAGATTTGCACCATCATAATGATAAACTGCACGTTTATAAATAATTATTGAACTGTTTTCTACATCAAGTTTTATTCCAGTTTTAGTAGGTTTGTGCTTGTAGACCAGTCTAAGGTATTAAGTATATAGTTACCAGTTACCCTAGTATACAAGTTACCAGTATAAGCTAAATCAAATCTACGTGCTGATCTCTTGCAGTTCGACCAATTAGATCAATTGTCCACGCCTTAGTCTTCCAAATTTGAACAGTTCATCTCGCCGAAATGCCGACATCCGTTCGCAAAGGGTTAATTCATTGATTTATTCATTTATTAATTGATTGATGCATTTATTTTCTAATTTATTGATATTCAAATGAAGATATTAATCTGTAAATTGAATGTTTTTGTGGGTAAATTGTATCAAAGCTGAATAGTATCGATGCTAAAACCAAAGAATGGAGAAAGAAGGAGAAACAAGTGAGTGAATATCCGGAGCGTAGTTGAGTTTTAATCCGCGTTCACGGTATCGGCGGCGAACTGCGAAATTCGAACAATTAGTGTGTGACAACCCGGGACCTCTGCTAGAAAATAACCGAGGAATTTTTGCCATCGGAGGCGCGGCTCGTAGCTGCGCGGCGTTTAAATGAAAATTCACCGTTGGTTGGTCATCGCGGCTCCCTTCGTTTATTAAACGACTCGTGATCCCGCTAATTGAAACGTATTGTAAAATAGAATAATTCTGTTATAACAACGCATTCTTCTTGAAACAATGTTCCTGAAATATTTTTCCGAATCATTCAATTACTAAACGGGGGATGAATATTCGACGTTAAACAAAGAAACAGAATAAAGGATTTCGAGCACGGTATAAATCGATTAACTGTAGAGCCCACAAATAAAATATCTTTTTGTTTGATATAAAAAGAGAATAAAATCAAAGAAAAATGGAAATGCCAACGTCGATGTTCAAGTATTTTGCCATACGACGTAAAATACGATGCGTAAAAGAAATAAAGTAAATTATTGCGTAGATATCAATTAAATATCAAATACTGAGGTATTTCTTTTGTGTTTGAGATAAAAAAAGAATGAAATCGAAGAAAGATGAGAATGCCAGCACCGATAATCAATTATTTTGCAGTGTGGCGTAAAATACATCGACAACAGAAGAGAGGTTTCTCAGATGAATCTCGTGTAACTGCAATTAATAAACAACAGGTTATACCATAGACACACTTTGTAGCCCCAGTACCATCCTCCAGTGATCGCGGAAACCATGGCGACCGGATTTCCGAGGGCAGCTACCAAAAAGTCGCCGACCTACAAAGAATACGAAAGAAAGAATTATTTCTAACCCAATTTCCTGAATTTATTACTGATATTAATATATTCCGAGACAGTATTCCATTGATTAAATATTCATTTTCAGCTCAATTTAAATTAACTTAAAAAAAGAAACATGAGTACTATGAATCATAACCAAAATAGAAATCTTTTCTTTTTTAGTAAATAAATGTAATTTTCTAATAAAAAAATTTGGGCATAATGGTTTTCCAAGATATGCTTATTAAAATGAATTTTATTCATATGTCATTTGTAAAAGTCAATATTAAATATAAATATAAATATAAATATAAATATAAATATAAATATAAATATAAATATAAATATAAATATAAACATAAATATATAACACTATAAGTCAACACGAGTTTACTTTTCTGAGCAGATTTATATGACCATAGTGCTCAAAAAGTTAAATGACCGCAGGAACAGTAAATAACAAAAAAGTCGTACCGTGGGTAGTTACCACGTACATTTAACTGTAAAACTAGATCCAAAAGAATGTTAAACACCGCGTCGTTGCACGGAAATAGAAATTCAGTGGTTTATTTTGTCCAAGCAGTAAAGTTTATTCTCGGCGACATTGCGCAAATAGTTACGAGGAAAAGGATCTTTCGCGTCATGGGAAATTTCAAATTAATATCTATAGGGAAAAGAGCAATCTTCCGAGTGTTCGTAGGACAAGCGATTCTCCCCGGGGCCGAGCGAGAAAAATGAATTCTTTGAGAAAGAGAAAGTTTCTTGTCGGTCGACTTGCTCTTCGATTTCCGATGCTTCGATGAACGTACCCCCCTTAAACCGGAAAACCGCGAAGTCGTAAAAGTTGCGGCCCTTCCACGGCGATGCACGATGTAACCCAGTACTTTGGAATAATGCGACGTTCTTACTGCGAAGCAATTCCACCGGCTATCCCTTCAATCATCTACTTATTTCAATTTTCCTCTCTGGACACGGTCGTGCGTGAAAAACGGAACGGTCATGGTTTCCAACTTCAATTAATCGGTTTTCAAATCTCATTGAAAATCCTCCGTTTCCCTTCGTTCATTTCACATCAAACCAATTCATGGATTATCCGATCAAACGGTTATTCAATTTTTCTCTTTCCTTCGATTTCTATTTTCAATAAGAAATATTTATCGTTTCACATCTTTACCTTTATTTCATAACTATAGTTCTTTGACTGGTTACGGAAGATACAGATATAATATATAAAGTGTCGATACATTTAGCGTTAATACCCAATTAATACTGGTTTCTCCAATATTTGTCTCCTTTAAATTCATCGATCTAATACCATTGCAATCCCTTCGCTCTCATGATCGTGGCATGAATTGTTTTAAATCATTTATAGTTCTCGTAACCTCTCAATTTTCAAATATCCACGATTTGATTACTTCGTTTATAATTTGACACCATTGTCGCGCGTGAATGTTAAACTGTTTGTGCCATTCGCGAAAGTCTCGTGTTGTTCTCGTTCTTTTCATTTTTAATAAAGAGATTTTATAAAGGATTTCTTACGTTTGTGTTTTTCTCTCTTATTTTCCTTTTTTTTTTAATAAAGGGGGTTGATACAAAAGATCTTCCATTCGCACAAATCCCTACCCCTTTTTCTCCGCTTACCCCCACTGCTTCGTTGCAAATCGCAACGAATTATATCATCCTGGTCGTTTATTAAAAGGTCAGGATACGCTCGACAGTGCCGCGTGAAACTCGTTTTGTTTCGAATTAAACGCGATAACCGATGACCGAATTTTTCCTGGCCGTCGGCTGAAACCAAGATGGCGGGTGGCGAAGGGTCGAGAGGGAAAACGGAACATTTCGAAACGTCTCGTTGCGATTTTTTAATTTTTTATCGTGCGCTGGGAGAGCAGGCTACCTTGTTTGTGCTTCCGTTGCTCGATCGAATCACTTTCAGGTAGTATTTTATTCATTCCAACAAATCTTCTGAAGAAAATACTGCAAAAATAAAACTGAAACGAGTCATTGAGCTCCTAATTATAATGCTGTAGCTTGTAACTTCAAATAACAATATCTATATACGATTAATTTCATTCTCTTTATGTAAAAGTATTCGATTATGGCTGTCGCAAACATGCGACGCTCGTAGCGAACGTGTTAACTCTTTCTCCTATAATATCGAGTCGAATGTTATTTATTTTTCATATAAATGAAATATTCTTTGTTTATTATAAATCTTTAACCTTTAGAGTAAACGTAGACACAGAATAAGCATCAAATTCTTTGCTTCTTCTGCTAGATTATTAACACCAGATTTACGAAACGAATCAGTTTGACTCATATTGAGTTTGGTAAACATTATTTGGTAAATGTTTGGGTCGATTTTGATTGATACAGTTACGTAAATATGTATCCTAACTGTCTACTTTTAAATCTCCAATTTATAAGATCTAAATGAACGAATATTCATTTTTCTAAGAACGATAGAACAAAGCGCAGTTGTGAAAGAAATGAAAACATCGTGGCGTCGTTAGACGACATTGCGACCTATTCAAAATATCTACCCGTTCCGTCTTCCTATTACAAATTCATTTACCGACGGGTGTTTTATATTTTATTCTGCGTTTATATTTTATGCACTGCACTAGGACATTTTTATTTCGCAATTACGATTGTTGTTGGTTTCACGAAATATCACGATCAGAGGGAAACGAATTCTTTCGTCAAATAATTGTGGAGAACAAAGGTAAAACGAATGAAATAATTATAATTTATTCTTCGGCTGAGAAATCTGTTAGCAGCGAAATAATTCTGGTCTATTAACGATCCATTCAGTCAAATTCAATTGAAATTAAATATACTCTGTCCGATTCGGAATAAATTGCACCGTTCCGTTTTATATCATCACTGAACTGCGGATTTCCATGTATTCGTGAGAAATGTGAAAATCCAATGGCGCATGGAACGCATACGATACGAAAAAATGATCGACACTGAAACTACCACAACCGTCAAAATGGCTGGTTCTCATACTTCGCGATTATTGATAATTAAGAGTGTCAAATATCCGAAATGATTTGAAAAATACTCTCACTTGAATACTATAACGAATGTACGAAGAAACCTGGAGAAATCTCTTACAATATTTATAAGAATTAAGAACATTAATCACATTAAACGCTCGGTAGTTCTAGTACTAAAATATCCAAAGTGCGATAATTTTATATTGATCAAGACGAAAGATTTTCTATAGTAATTCTGTTGTTCGAGTGATCCTCTTAAATATTTGAAATTACACGAAGATCCGCAGTGCAATCGTTACAAAATGAAAAGATCGCGTAACATACGTTAATCTTTCATACATCCAAGTTGTCAGTGTTGAACTTTGAAACGTTTGGTTAGCGGATTACGTTTAGGAACAGCCGGAAGGGTTTAAGAGGGCAAGAGAGAATTGTTTCATCGCGAAGTGATTTCACGGGGAATGTATTCAGGCGGTGAAGTGAGCTCGCGTTACAATCTCGTCGGATCCTGTGGGGTGAAAGGGCGCGTAAACGCCAAGTAGCGGAATAATGGCGGCGTTGGTAACTTCCGAGCCTCCATTAAAATCGAGTTCCGTTTGAAGACGATTTATTAACCTGATTTCGACGACTACGCAAACGGATCAGAACAGCTCGGAACAAGTATCGACAAATCGCTTTAGGGCGGATGCGCTTTTCCATCGCAAACAAATCACTTCTTGTTTTACGGCCGTGGCCCGCTTTAACCGTGTGTCTCGTTCCTTTTCAACAAATTCGAGAGTTCCCGTAAAAAACACTGCAAGTGCCAAACGTGGAAAATTGTAATATACAATTGTAGTGTTTACTATTATTATAGATGTTGAAAAGGTGGATCTTCAGTAAACAGAGAATTAGAAATAAATATATGATGTATTTAATGAGATAAGGAAACAATACGGACAACACGTAAAAATACAATTTAATGTCACGAAGGCCAACACACACGACTCTCTATCCGCTATCACGCACAAAATGTTCCTCTCCGCTGTCTCTCACAAAAAATGTTCTCCACGCATGCATTCCCACTTGCTTTTAACACACACCCCCATTCGCTCTGTCTTTCTCACCCTTGCACCCTTCTCTCTCGCATCTTTCGTCCATAGTTAAAACTCACGCAGTCACGTACACGCTTTTCTCATGGTCCAGTCGCTCAGTTCCAGACACTCTTCCTCGTATTCTTTCAGCCACTCGAAATTTTCTAAACGCAGTCACACTATTTTCCAAACATCCCGGCGCCGGTCCGTCGCAATACGACCTGGTCGCCCTTACGCACGCACAACAAACCATTCATCTTACAATACTTTAACCTACACTAAATATTCTAGATACTACACAATTTAAATGGGATTTTCTTTGTTTAATGTAGTCATTGATAATTGCAGTCGTCTATGATACCGATAATATTGAAAGACATCGTTATGATATAACGTTGAATATGATGCTAGGCAACTTTTTTCCTCTTCTTGAAAAATTTGATGGCACGTACAATCTTTCCTATAAATACTTTTCAATTCTTCGATCTTTGCAACATCAAACCCGTTTCCTTTGACGCCATTTTATGTTCTTTCAACGCTAGATTCATGGATATTTATTGTATACTCTAGAAATCTATACTATCTATACTATCAGAAGAAGTTGATTGAAATAGATCTTGGAAATTAGAGGTTCTAAAACAATGAATTTGGATACTCTTTGGGAATTATAAGATGTTCCTATAACTGCATCAACCAAAATTAACACGAGCTTTCCTCAAATAATGTTCACAGAATACAATATTCGTCAAATTGACGTTCAATAGGTCTAGCGTAAAATGAACAACCATTATTCTCACCTTTCAACTTATCTTTCCATGTAAAATCGGGAATACTCTATACTATTGATCAAAGGGCTTACGCACACGATCTCTTGGTCAAACATTAAAGTGCCATTTTACGTCTGACTAAAATACATGATTTGTATAACTATATAAAATCACGCTAAAAGTACCTATAAAATACGCGCATAGTATCATTGAAGTGAATTTCACTAAATATTCAGAACTCAAATTACAGTTGAGAAACTGTTCCGAAATTGGCTTGAACGGAGCAAGAATCCCGAGATCCGCGTAACGATCTCGTCAGGATCTTGGTCATCTTTGCGGAAAGCTCTCGAGGGGTCTCCTAATTCTGGTGGTAACGAAGAGAAAAAGGAGCAAACAAGGAAACGGAAACTACAAAGTTTTTAACGTCAAGTTTCCGAAGAATTTCGAGATCAATGAGAGCGAGCAGTGGAAGGAAGGGAAGTTCTCTGAGAGAACTCATTAATGTTAATGCGCTTCTGGGGCTTAATGCTGTAATACTTCTGAGTATCGGGGATCGCAACATTTAGAGCGGGACATTCTTCGGTAACAAGGACGCACTATTCTCAGAAAATCGCGTCTTCGAACCAGACAGTGTTTCCCGCGCAAGCTGGAAAGGGTTGCATATGAAGAGGCTTATCATCCGTGCATTATGCGCAATGACACGAGCTAAACTACGCGAACACGGGACAAAGGCTGTAGGCTCTCTTGTGTCGTCGCGATAATGCTTCTTCAACTGGCATATATCTGGTAGACAGTTTTTGCAGAGATATTGACCACAATTAGTGGAAACGCTAAGTTTCATGTAAAAGTGGCAGAATCTGTAAGGGTTGATCGAAAATTAAAAAATAGAAGTTTAAATAAGTTTTCTTTTCATGTTCGAGTGTTTAGTAGGAAACTAAGGTTTCTATAGGGAATATTAACGAATGTTTGAATTTTATTTTGTAAATAGTATATAAATAACAGAATGAAATAATATAATTTAACTCTTAGGGGTCACCCTACTCGAAAGTTTAACAAATTTGCTGCGCGTAACTTTTCTTTTTGTTTATAACTATTTTATAGAGATCCAGTTTTCGTGCAGGAAATATTAACTAAATATTTTTATATTTCTTTTTCATCATCGGAAAGTACAAAATGGTAAAGTTACAAAGCCTGATTTTCTGTCCAGAAGTTACTGAAACGCGAAGAATAAGAAATTGCGAAAAAATGAACGAGAACAGATTATCTACAGAATAGCGTGCAATTTAAAAATTGTGGATATTTTATTTTTTTCGTTAAAAGCATTGATTGTAAATGTAAAAACGCATAATAAGTAAGTAAATAAGGATAAAATTTAGCAAAGAATTGACACAGCTGTTAAACTCAGCCTGGAATACTTTTTGTTAAACGCAGCCAGGATTATTACGAGCTCCTTAATTCTTTGTGCGCCTCACACGAGACGAGACTATAATATTCCGAGAACGATTCAGTTAGAATTTGTAATTACTTCGAAAATTAGACACAACTTCAAAGCAATTTCCCCGTGACTGTATATACCCCATTCCTGCGTTGAACATGGAATATAGAATTTCTACCTCGTACATACTTTCGGAAGCAATAAGACGCGTTCAGCCAAGATTATTATTCCCAAATAGAATTGTAAAACTTTCAACTGCAGTGTCCAAAAGAGTTAAACGTGCAACAATAGATTGATACTTTTTCTCACACGTACATACATAAGCTTGACATGTTTTCCTTTTTTCTCACGTCTCTATTAGCTTAGGTTCACAGGGTAGAAAGTTCTCAAAAACTCGTGCCTCTGTTTGCCGACGGATGACGAAAATTCTCGCGATTCCTACGGTCGTTAAGTATCCAAATATTTCGAAGACAGGCAAATATCAGCCAGAAGCATGAAACCAGAATTCCCAATTCACGACGGAGAAAATGTTTCTATCGCGGTATAGCGAAATTCTATGATTTAATAATCCCGTTATCGCGTTCCCTTTTCACAGAGAATCCTCTTTGACGAGTACCACGAATAATTAATTCCCTTCTTGTTAATAATTCTCGCAAATGCATTACAAAATTCGTAATATCGGCTCGTAAAATACGTTTCCATTTTATTTCACTGCGTGATATACGCGTTTCCATTTCATTTCAACGCATCAGCGAGTTTCGCGAGGAACGGGAACGAATATCGGATCGGGAACAGCTGAGAACATCGAGATAAAGTTTCTATCGAGGTTGCTCGAGTCGGTTAGATCGTTGGACTTTAACTTCGTGGATTTATTCGTACGAGGGCTTTGCTGAATGCCACGACTATGAAGGCAAGATTACAAGTTTGATACCCTAAAGGACCGCTGCGGTTAAAGCAACCATCGATCCAGGAAGCGTTTCCCATAACATTACTTCCAAATTATATTGTCTATGAATTTCGTAAAAATTGTCGCAACGTTAAAACGAATGGAAATTTTATGGACAGCTTATTAACTATTCACATCGAGAACTTATGGTTCCGAGTCACGCAACAAATCGCTGATTGTAAAATGAACAGAACCAAACTCCATAAAGAGCGAACCCGAAGGAGCTCGGGGTAATTGCTGTTTTACGAACGTTGCAACGGAAGTGCTGATTAGCAGATCGTGAATTCTCCGCGAATCATCGACATTGGAATAGAGGAATTGGGTCTAATTAGAAATAATTGCGAGTACACTTTGATGGCTGGTAGTTTTAGAATGGTTAATACGTTGATTGTTACGACGGTCATCGACGATATTCATCTGAATTACTTGAAAACAACTTGGAAACTGATAAAACTGTTTACTAACGTGAGCAACTATGCAATACTGTAACGGAAGGATTTTAATACCAAATAATTAATAGTCGTTCATGTTTACCGCGTAATTAGAAATAATTGCGAGTACACTTTGACGTCTAGTAACTTTTAGATGATTTGTACGTTAATTACCGTACGGCTATGGCCGTCGAGGGTATAACTCCGAATTATTTGAAAACAATTCGAGAACCGATCAAAATGTCTAATAACGTGAGTAAGTACATGATAGTATAATGGAAAAAATCGTGAAACCAAATAATTAATAATCGTTCCTATTTATGAACGCGTTAAGAGAATAGAATGGAAGGATCGAGTGAGCTTTGACGATTCGATGTGTATATTCTGTTTTGGGGGAAAATACTTTTTTCGGGCGTGTGCTAATGAATCTTTCACGGTGGAGTCAACCGGTAACGTGACACGTTGGAGGCTGTCAAAGGCAGAGAGTAAAGACTCGCCAGTGATTACCGTTCGCGGGCTTCACTACTGCTCTTGTGTAAACATTCTGATTAGGCCGCTAATGTTTCCGCCGTTAGTCTGTCGAAAGGATTCAAAGGCAGAGCCCTAACGAATAATTGACAAAATGAATTCATCAAATTTGGACTTGAAGAGTTTCCTTATACACTACAACTAACAGAGTCAACGTGGCTTGACTTTCGTGTACTTATCGTAAGAATTGAACGATTAATTTGTCAAACTGAACTCAACAGAATAAAAAGTAGAATAACTTGCAAAAATTCGAAAAATGGAGTTGGTCACTTCGCTACAGTTAAACTTCAACAATTCCCCAGATCAATTAGGAGCAACATTTCATAAATCATATGACATGAAAAAATTTGATCATATCCTTTGTAATGAATTTCATTGACGCATCATAAACGAGAAGGAGATGCTGTCTGTTATGTCTATTGGTTACATACGAAAGCAATACTTCAATTTACGTGCCACCTAAATGGAAAGCAAAGCAAAATCAGCTTGGCGTTTAACATGTGTTAATAGGAAATTTTGAAAACACTCAGAAATTAGGAGTCAGTCACTTTCCCTCGATCAAGTTTCAACAGTTTCCCAGATCAATTTACTCGCGACCACGTTGACAAGGACCACGTTGACGATACAGTCAACGCGTCTCAATTTCCATGTATTCAACGTAAAAATAGAGCCACTTCAAAATAAATTCAACAAAATCAAAAGTGAAACAACTTGATCAAATTACTCATGTAAAGAACCATTTAACACGTCGAATGCCGCACGATTTTACGTAGCAAAATATACAAACTGAAAAAAATATATAATATCAAATTACTTCATCGAATCGTTTCATTCCCATTGCACGTTTACCTCGTCGAATAATAGCGCATTAGGTGGGATTATTTATAGTATAAGAATGTTTGCAAATAATGACCGTTTAACCCTTTGCCCTATGATTCATTTTTCACTTGTGATAGACACAGTAACTTTGTTAGTAATAATTTATTCGAAAAAGAGGAAAATTTTATGTGTATTCTGTATCTACGTTTGCTCTACAATATAATAATTAATAACGGAAGAATAATATTTGATTTGAATTCAAACGAATCGAGTAATGTCTATGTTTGTTAAATTCTATTTAAAATGTTCACCACGAGTCTCACACGTTATTGTAACGTAAGGGGTTAATCGACTGAATTATAGTAATTCAGTTTGATCGGGTGTCACCGGAGATCCCCATACATTCAACGTGTTAAGTAGCTATATATCACTCAAGAAAAACTTCGAAAAATAGAGTCAGTCACTTTCTTCGATCAAGCTTCAACAATTTACTCACGACGAGGTTGACGAGGACCACGTTGACGGGTGTCCAGAGGTTCTGCGCGTCCTTGACAATCACCGCGGCGACCATGAGGTTCATAGTGAACCCGAAGAACCCAATGAATCCGAGGGCGACCGCGGCGCCGATGTAGACCGTCGGATGCACATAATCCTCGTGGATATCGTCCGGCACCGCGGTGCTACGATTCAAGGACATTTCGTCGATGGGAAGCGATCAAAATTGTTTCTACGGGGCGCGCGGCAAGCACGCACTTTCGGTATCACAACACGGGGCCGTCACGTGGCTCGCGTGCCACCGATGACACTACCGACCTATTCCTCCTCCCTTTCTTTCGCTTTCGCCCCCGGAACGCGTTCTCCCTTCTTAACATCGACACGAGAAGCAGGCCGCATGCATCAATCAAAACCGGCGTGTGTGACGCTACAAAGTCTACCTACCCTTATATAAAGCGCGGATCAAACTACCCTCTCTCCGCCGGCCGCACGCAGCCTTTACCACTCGACACGGGCCGGATAGAACCAACCCCC